ATGCTGTACGCAGGCTAAAAAGCTAGCAGGTGTTGCAAACTAGCAGTACACTACAGGCCCTATACAAAAAAGAAGAGGAAAGGATGCAAAAGATAGTACAAAGGGGGATAAAAAATAAAGTAAGGTAGGTAAGTAACTTAATTTATAAAAATAAAAAGTTACTAGTGTCTGTACATAAGTACAGCTGTGTCTGTACACACGTACAGCTAAATTAGGTTGCCTAAAACGTTAGCTATCTAGCCTGTGCGCTAGGGGCTATGTGTACTTAAGAGCCCTCTTTCTTTGTACAAAGAGAGAGGGCAGTAGTTAATAACAAGAAGATCTTTGCCTGCTCACCTCTTAGTACGCCCCTTGGGCGTACGTTTGTTCGATCGAACCCAGGTCAACCAACAGAATCAGTTAATCCGATTAAATTAAACTTGTCTGAGCTACATGGGTTACCCTGAGAACTTCTGGGCATGGGTTCTTCTTATGCATTGTCACTTTTGACTAGATTTAAGCGCCAGGGATCATACCAAATTGTGGCACAGTCCTGGTTATTCTCGAGCTACTGTGCCGCCGATTCACGGAGGCACTCGGTAGAGGCACCGATTACGAGTTCTCGCAACAGTCCAATTTGGTTCCAGTAATACGGGAGCGGGGGTTGTGGTCAACTATTTAATTTTCGGATGGCCATCATTTCGGAATTGCCTTAGGAGTCTTCTTCCTTCCGCAGCAATCATAGCCATGCAGAAACCGCGTTGTCACGACTAGGTTCTAAAACCCCCTCATCATAGGATCCTTCTCCGTATACATCACGAGCGAATGGCACACACCACGAGCATGGGCTTCGAGATTGTCGTTGGGATCCGCTGCGGGCTGATCGCTACGCCGTTATTTGGTGTTTTATATCTGAGGTTAACACCCCCCTAGCGTCCATCCCTGCGTCGAGAGACGGACAGTGTTGCGAGGTAGGTTCGCTATTCGGACCTTCCGAGTCCCTCCTTCGCAGGTCTAGAAGCCACAGCTGATACATTACGATTCTATAGCCACTTTCCTCCAGATAACTAGTCTCCGACAAGGACTATTGCGGTGTTGGTTATGCTGTTGATTGTTTCATCAACGCCGTCAATCACCCCTTCCGCTATACCCCCTGTCCAATTACGACCTCTGGACTCTGTCGAGAATTCAGAGAGCTAGAAGGAAGGCTTAAGTGAGGGAGATCATGTCTCTAAGCTTTTGATGCTACTTTAACTCAAGGCGTATGCTTGCTAGGAGTTTCACCGGGCGGAGGATGAGCAGTTAGACGTCTGCCGGTGTTGCGAGACAATACAGCACGCTTACCACTTGCTGTATTAAACTGTATTATACCATGGCGCTATGCCTACCTTAGATTACTGTAACCTTTCGGAACAACCTCGCCATCTAATCAAATATTACACTATCTCTACCGCCAAGCCCTCTCTCCTATTGGTCCGGATATAAGCCGGCTATTGATTTGATTGGTAGAAAATCGGTAACCAAAAAGCCGCGTTACTGTTTGTTTTTAAGCTTCAAGTAATCGTTCTGCTATGCTACATGCTTGATCCGGTCTTCTTTTTTTCCTATCGTGATCGACTACCGCACGGTCGGGGGTGTAAAAATCACTTCTACAGTGTAATTTTTCCCGCTAAATGTAATCGGCTCTGCCAAGACCTTCCAAGCAAAGCCCGCTGCAG